TAAGCAGAACAGAAGTTGTTGGGAAATAGATTTGAGCTTCATGTGAAGAAAAAGTTTCCTAACAGTTCAGTCTCTCACACAGTAAAGTAAGTTACGTTCAAAGATAGTGGGTTCTCCCATACTGGAGGTCTTCAAGCAGGAACTAGCAGGAATTACCACTTGTCTAGTAAATTGTAGAAAGGACTCCTTTTCACATAACAGTTGGACTTCTGGCAGTCCCTTACAACTCTTAAATTATTTTTGTAATTCACCTAAATGTTTCTCCTGCATCAGAAAACTAATGTACCGAATATCATTAAATTTAAACAACAAAGTGAACGTTTGCCTTATGCTGTTTTAATGTTAAATCACCTGTTTCTTGTCATAGAGAACATATTTCATATCCTCTTCTGTGTAACAGTATGATATTTGCAAAAGAAATTAAAAGTTTTTAAAGCAAATTTTCTTTGCTGTGGACTTATTAAAATTGTTTATGTAAGGCTCTGGAGCCATATTCCTCCAACTGCCTAATCTGCCCCCTGTTATATTGAATAGTGTGATAGCGATGAATAGAAGACACAAAACCAAAAGAAAAATACAGTAACAAAGATTTTTTTCAAAGAATCTTCATATCTGTACTTTTAAAGGAAAATTCATTCAAATCTTGATTAAAAAACAGAAGCAGAGTAGTGTCTATAAGAACATATATGTATATTATAGGACAATATATGCATATTATAGATACATATACATACATATATACATATATGTACATATCTATACATACATGTAGATTATAGGGCCATAGATTTAAAGCTGTCAGAGCTCTTAAAGGTTATTTGATCTGACATACTTACTTTACAAATAAGGAAAGTGAAGCCTCACCCGGACCACGTAGGTAATAAATGACAGAGCTGGAATCTGAACCCAGATCCTTCTGCCTTAAAAGCCCATTCTTCTTTCTACTATATGCCATACTATTTCTATGTAGAAACCTCAGTATTTCAAAAGATGTGTCATTTTATCAGTTTAGATTGAAGCTCCTTTACTAGATAGCTTCAGAAGGTCACAGCACCACAGATTTAGCACAAGTGATCCCAGAGGTGGTCTAGTCCAAAACCCACATTTTGCAAGTGAAGAAACTGAAACCCAGAGGGGTTCAGTGACTTTCTTGAAGTCGCACAGAGGTAGTAAGTGTCAGAGGTAAGATTTGAAACTAAATCTTCTCTTTTCAAATCCATGGCTTTTTTCTGTTGTATCATGCTGCCTTTATGTTTACATCAGTGCTTTAAAGGATCTGTGATTTCATCAATTTGGATTGAAACCTCCTTAGTACATGGTTTCATGAAGGGGAGAAAATTACCTGGCAGCCAATGAATTAATCAGTGAGTATGTATTAATGGCTTATTATGTGCCAAGCATCAGGATAGTCTGGGGGAAGGAAGGAAGGAAGGAAGGAAGGAAGGAAGGAAGGAAGGAAGGAAGGAAGGACCGACCTCTACTTGCAAGGAGCTTTTCTGCTCTATTAGCCTGCCTTTTGGTGATGAGCCTCATGAAATTAACTGGGCTTGTCCTCAGATGAGAGAGACTATTGATGGTCCCTTCCCAGCTTATTATGAAATGGTAGAGCTTGTACTCTATTTTATTTTTTGAGGCAAATTAACCTCCACAATAAAATGAGACACTGGAATAGGACTAGTAGAAACTGGATCATAATCTATTTTATATGAATGCACAAAAAAGCATTTAGTAAATATTGGAATTTACATATATACGTGTATTGTGATAAGCACGTCTAAAGATGAATTTAAGGCTTCAAAATAGAATGTATATGTGTATTCATACATAGAAGTCCGCTTAATCACATGTGGGTACATATATCTGCAAATGGCCAGGTGGTCCTTGATTATATGAATGTTGCTATTATTTCTGCCTTGAGTCAGAAGGATAAATATAACCCTAGACCACCTGGATTCTCACTTCTCCTCCTTTCAAAGTCATCCAAGATAAATTCTCCAAGTCTGAATGTTCACAAATGCTTCCTAATGTAGTGGTTATCAACTCTTTTTGTTCCTCAAAATCACTTTCAACAATAACAAAAAGTTATTTTTAAACCCCAGGATACTTTACTATATTGCCATTATATTCTTTTTTATTAATTTATTTTGATTTTCAACAATCACTTCCATATGTTTTTGAGTTTAAAATTTTTCTCCACCTCCCTCCCCAAGATGGTGCACAATCTGATATAAGCTATGCATATACATTCCTATTAAACATATTTTCACATTAGTGATATTGTACGTAAGAATTAGAACCCATAGGAGGAACCACCAGAAAGAGGAAACAAAACTCAACAGAAGAGAAAAAAATAGCAAATAGTATGCTTCGATCTGAATTCAAATTCCATAGTTCTTTCTTTGGATGTGGATAGCATTTTCCATTATGAGGCCTTTGGAGATGTCTTAGATCCTCGTATTTCTGGGAAGGGTTAAGTTTATCAATATTAGTAATCGCAGAACATGGCTGTTATTGTGTACAACATTCTCTTGGTTCTGCTCACTTCACTCAGCATTAGATCATACAAGTCTTTCCAGGTTTTTCTGAAGTCAGCCTGTTCATCATTTCTTATTGTACAATAGTATTCCATTACATTCATATACCACAACCTTGCTCAGCCATTCTCCAGCTGATGGGCATCCTCTCAATTTCCAATACTTTGCCACCACAAAAAGAGTTGCTATGAATATTTTTGTACATGTGGGTCCTTTTCCCATTCGTATGATCTCTTTGGGATATAGCCCTAGAAGTGCTATTGCTGAGTCAAAGGGTATGTACATTTTGATAGCCCTTTGGGCATAGTTCCAAATTGCTCTCCAAAATGGTTGGATCATTTCACAACTCCACCAACAATGCATTAGTGTTCCAATTTTCCCACATCTTCTCCAACATTTATCATTTTCTTGTTTTATCATCTTGGCCAATCTGATAAATGTGATTTGGTACCTCAGGAGTTGTTTTGATTTTCATTTCTCTGATCAATAGTGATTTAGAGCATTTTTTTCATATGACTATAGATGGCTTTAATTTCTTCATCTGAGAACTGCCTGTTAATATCCTTTGACCATTTCTCAATTGGAGAATGACTTGTATTATAAATTTGACTTAATTCTCCATATATTTTAGAAATGAGGCTTTAGAAATCAGAGACTGGTTGTAAAAATTTTTTCCCCAATTTTCTACCTTCCTTCTAATCTTAGTTGCATTGGCTTTGTTTGGGCAAAAACTTTTCAATTTAATGTAATCAAAGTTATCCATTTTGATTTTCGTAATGTTCTCTATCTCTTGTCTGGTCATGAATTCTTCTATTTTCCATAGATCTGATAGGTGAACTATTTCTTGTCCTCCCAGTTTGCTTATAGTATCAGCCTTTATATCTAAATCACGAAACCTATTTTGACTTTATTTTGGTATATGGTGTGAGATTTCAACCAATGCCTAGTTTCTGCCATACTGTTTTCCAGTTTTCCCAGCATTTTTTTTCCCAAAGAGTGGATTCTCATCCCAGAAGCTGGGGTCTTTGGGTTTATCAAATAATGGATTACTATAGTCACTGCCTACTGTGTCTTACATATTTAACCCATTCCACTGATCCAACACTCTTATTTCTTAGCCAGTACCAAACAGTTTTGATGATTGCTGCTTTATAATACAATTTAAGATCTAGAATGGCTAGGCCACCTTCCCCTGCATTTCTTTTCATTAGTTCCCTTGATATTCTGGACCTTTTGTTCTTCCAAATGAATCTTGTTACTATTTTTTGTAACTCTATAAAATAATTTTTGGTGGTTTGATTGGTCATAATATTCTTTAGAATTATTTATTGCTTAATCTCTATTAAAGGATTTTGAGCACTAACCCTTTGGACCACTGCAAACTACGAAATGGAAACCACTGACTGAACTTTGTTCTACTCAGTTCAAATAATCCACTGACTAAATATTTGTAATAAAATAAACCTTTTTTTAATTTTTCTTTAACAAAATTTTACTTTTAGCAAAAATTTATTTTTTTTCTCCCTCTCAACTCCTTTCCTCTAATCCCACTAAAAGAAATAAAACCTTTGTTAAAACTATGTAGTCAAGCAAAACAAATTCCCACATTGGCAATGTCCAAAAATTGTATGTTATTCCATATCATGAGGGAAACACTTCTCTTTCAGGAGATGAGTAGCAGGGTTTCCTCTTTCATAAAAGGTTGAAACTCTAATTTGTTTTGAAATAATGCTTAATGGGATCTCTGTCTTTATGCAGTTTTCCCATGGTCCAGTTTAGCAAATTTATTAAAGTGGGGACTGTTTGCACTTCTATTTTCAAACTTAATCATGGTTTAATAATTAGGATCTTTTACCTTCCCAAAAGTCATTAATGCCTATACATAAATGATAATATGTTTTAATGGCTATAAGTATGTTTGAAGTTAATATGTTCTAATATTTCATTATTGGGCTAGAAACCTAGGATATTACTTTCTAACTATGACATTTGTGACAAAGTCAAAATGCCTCATTTAATATAATAGATAATGTCTTTTACAGTATAAATAGAAAGAGAATTCTAATGAAATTTTTCATTGATTTTTCCTATTGTGAACATTAATTGTTTTTCGTGTGTGTGTGTGTGTGTGTGTGTGTGTGTGCATGCGTGTGCACTAACTTAGTGTTTTTTTTTATATTTTATATGCATTTCTCCCCCATTCCTTTGCACTTAGTAGGGACTTTGTTCATTTGGAACAAGGGTGGATGTAGGCTATGAGAATGCTAATACATTTCCTTAATGTTACACCAGAAGTTTTATGTTTTCTGCCTTTGATATATGTGGTTGCATTGAAGTTATTTGTCAGAATGTTACATAACATGTATTCTTGACTTTCAGAGAAATGATAAATATAATTCACTATTAAATGATGGGGAACAACCCATTTAAATCACAAGCTTATTAAAGCTTTCTCCTCTTTTTTAGGAGTTATTCGACATGTTGGAGATGCTTTAAAGGATCATGCATCAAAATCTCGAGGGAAGATATGTACCATAGGTATTGCTCCCTGGGGAATTGTAGAAAACCAGGAGGACCTGATTGGTAAAGATGTAAGTCTTGTTATATTGCCCTCATTATAAGGGTAGATTAAGTGGGTTTTTAGTGGGGGGGGGAGTTTAAGTGGTGGTACTAATTTTATAAGGTTTGTTTTTTCTACTTCCTGTAATGAAACTAATGGTAAAAGTCAGTGCTTCTAGATAAATTCACATTTTCTTAAACCAAGCAGCTATTTCAGTTAGAAAAATTAGAAGCAAATTATGCTTCCTTTTAATCATATTAGTCATTAATGAACTCTGTCATTTCTTCTCTGATTTGAATAAGGTCTTTCACCTAAACATTTGTTAATGCATTTTACTTCTAGCACAAGGTCCTCAGAGTTAGAACATTTACCAGTGTTCTTAGGAAGTGTAGCAGTCAAGGCAGGCTGAGTTCTATTCCAATGAAAATTTCTACTTGTGTAGCATTAGCTTGAACAAATAAATTCTGCAGTCCAGGGCAAATGCTTCTAGAGTCTATCAAAAAGCTTTGCCATAATAGCAGGCAGCAAATAACTGATCCATTTTATATTAAAAAATTCTTGTTTATCTAGAATGGTTAAGATGAGGATTGGGGAGCCTGATTTTGCTAATGGAATATTTTGTTTAACTAAGCATATACTTTGTGCCATATTTGAGTTATCCACCAGCACATAATATATACTCAGTAAATATTGTTGATGAGATGAATTGTTAATTTTTTAAGACAAGTATCACTAAAAACTACACTCAAGCACTATTTGTACATAGTAAGCATTCAGTACATATTTTTCAAGTTAATGCATTTGTTTTTTTTTTCTTTAAGATTCAGAAGTTACATCAAGGTCTTTTAGCACTTAACAGTCATCGTTATGAGCATCTTATACAATATTATGAACTGATCTGTTTATTTGACATTCATGGTTGTTTTAGTTTCTGCTGACAGTTTACTGTGTTTTCATTTCTGAAATAGAAAATAATTATCTATCTGAGTCACATAAACAAGCATACAAACTAACAGTTTGATTTGTTTCATTTAGCTGTAAAAGGGAAGAAGTTAGAAAGGGAGGATGAAACAGAGGTTATTTCTATAATATATAAGGTTTTCTTAATCTCTGTTTGCCTTAAAGGCTTAGATTCGTCCAAAACCTTATTGACTTTGAATAGTTACTCCTCATAAATCCTTGAGACTTTTGTAAGAACCTTTGAAATTCACTTGTTTAGATTAGAAAATCCATTCCCTGCCCTAATGCACTTTTGTCCCACACTGCTGTTAACTTTATTGAATTTCTACAGCAAAATAAATATTGTAAAATCAAATTTTTCTTTCTACATTACCTTAAGCTTGTATGCCTTAACTGTATCTAAGTTCATTTTTAGGTTATATAATACAATCCAATGTGGTGCTGAAGATAAAATAAAAACTCAAAGTTTAAAAATTTATAAGTGATAAAGAGATGGAAGCTTTGCCAGTCAAATCCCAAACATCTCTATATTTGAAAACATCTGGATAATTAACTGTATTTTTTTTTAATTTATCAGGGTGTTTGGCCACACACACACACACACACACACACCACACACACACACACACACACACGCCTAGAAAGTAAATTTAAGATGCCAGCAGCAGAAAATAGTTTATCTATCATTGATCTTTTTCTATTTAGAATTTACTTCCAAAGAGTAAAAGGTGATTTGTCGTGCTTAACTTGTTGTTTGGATGTGTTTCTATGTTGTTCTATGTGTTGGTTGAGTTTCGTTCCCATATTAGAGAGACAAGCATGCTTATCAGATGCAACCAGTTTCATTAACTCTCACTTAACACCTGTTAAACAAGCCCTTCCTGCTCCATAAATGAACTGTTTTAGTTTATCTAAAGTTTAAATAAAAAATAATGCCTGAATTTGCCAACTGTTCTTCCTTGAGCAACCATTAATAATGATAACTAACATTTTTTATACTTTTTTAAGGTTTTAAAGCATTTTACAAATGGTATCTCATTTGATTCTCTGGGAGATAGGTGCTATTATTTTCCGTATTTTACAAATGCGAAAATAGGCAAATGGAGGTTAAGTGACTTGCCTAGGGTCGCGCAGGTAGTAACTGTCTGAGGCTCAATTTGAGCTGAGGTGTTTCTAACTTCTTCCATCTTCCAGTTCTCTACTTCAAATTGTTGCTTCTCCTCTTGGGTTTGCTACCTCTTCTTTTCCATCTCTTTTTTTTACTTCTTTTTCTTTAATTTTCCCAATAGAATGTAAGTTTCATGACAGCAATTTCATTTCTGTATTTATATATCTTCATTTAGTACCTAGCATGGTCATATTCTAGATACTTAAAGAATAATTGTTCATTGACTGGTTTCCATGTTCACTGGTTTCTTATACCAGGGTCTCACAAAGACATTGATGAAGCACAGTGCTGATTCTGATCATTGATCATGACACAGAAGGCAGCCAATGTTTTTGGTTTGGTCAGTAAAAGCCCTAGGACAGCGTAAACGAACGCTGTTAATAGTCATGAAGACCTAGTGAAAGAGAAACATGGCATATCAAGTTAATTATAACATGGAGGTTTTGTGCGATTTCTTTCCTGGAACATAATTCGAGAGACAGTGGGAAAAGCACTGAATTGGAAGTCTGAGGTCCTGGATTTGAATCCATGTACTGCTATTTGCAGTGTGACCTGGAGGGAGCCACTGTGACTGTCTGGATATTTTTTCTTCTGTGCAAAATAGGGAGGTCTGACTTTGGTTTCCAATAAGTGCTTTGCAAACCCTATAGGAATTCATGACAATGATCCTAGTGATTCAAACTCAAAATTATTTAATGATAACATAATTATAGAATATTATGAGCAGTACACTAAATAACCCTGAGAGTTCAAAATACATTGTTGTTGTTGTTGCTACAAAAAACCCTGGCTTTCTCTAGTCTCTAATCTTTCTACCTCTGCATTCTATGAAATGTTGACGAACCCAAAGGGAAAAGGAGAAATTAAGTTGCATAAGAAAATTTTCCTTAAAGACATAGATGATGTAAAACAATTTTAGTTCTTCTTTGAACAAGACCACTGTACAATCAACCAATGTTATACATAATCTCGTGGAAATATAAAGATATATATATGTGTGTGTGTGTGTGTGTATTGTGTTAGTATACACATGTGTGTGTGTTTGTATACATGTGTGTATATATATATGTTTATATAAATCACTGGGGACATAGCAACGGTTTATGTTCAAGATGTAATTATTTGGAGCAAAACTTTAAAACAAAGAAGGCAGAACTGAGCATTATAATATGCTCTTTCCTGTAGAACAAAGAGATAGCTAGGTGGTACACAAGCAATTCTGCGACATAGTGGATAGAGCTCTGGGCCTGTTATCAAGAAGACCTGAGTTCAAAAGCAGCTTCAGACACTTACTGTCCGTGTGACCCTGGTTAAATCACTTAACCTCCATTTTCCTCAGTTTCCCTATCTATGAAATGGGGATAATAATAGTGCCTACCTACCAGGGTTGTTGTGAAAATCAAATGAGATAGTATTTGTAAAATGCTTAGCACAGTGCCTGGCATATAGTAGGCACTTAATAAATGTTTCTTTCCTCCTCCCGTTCATCTTCCCCTCTAAGATATTGGTCATTATTTAGGGAAGATTTCTATTTCCTTTGTTACTTTAGAGAATTACTTAAAAACAGTGACATCTAGGGCAACTAGGTGGCACAGCGGATAGAGTAACAGCCCTGGAGACAGGAGGACCTGAGTTCAAATCCAGTCACAGACCAGACACTTCACTAACAGTGTGACCCTGGGCAAGTCACTTAACCCCATTGCCTAGCAAAATAAATAAAATAATGACACCCTTTAAGTTTTACCTAAAAAATAAACACTCTCAGAAAGTACCTGTTGAGCACTTTGGATTGTCCTTAAAAATCCTAAGATTATACAGTGAAAAGACCTGAGTCTGAATCCAGTATTTGCCGCTTATTAACTGTGTGACTTGGGACAAGCCACACATGCATTCTAGGCCACAGTTTTCTCATCTATGAAATGAGGGAGCTGGTCCAGATGACCAGTAACATGCCTTCCATCTCTGATCCTAGTAATAAATTTAGAATTCGAGGGGATCTTGGACATCATTTAAGTCATCTTAGTGAAAAGTGAGCCACACATGGCTGAGTGATGCTGGGCAGGTCATCTAATCTTTCAAGACCCATAGCAACTCTCCGTTGAGTATTAGTTACAAAGTAGTTTACTGATTTATCTTGGTAGAAGGAGTTTCCTCCCTGGGAATGAAATCACAGGTCCAGAGTGGGGGAGAGAAGAAGAAAAGTAAATCTTCTTTTACCTTAAGTGGTTATAGTAAATGATGATAAGTAGATCAATATTTCAAAGTTTTTTCTATATTTATTCGTACAATGAAAATGACATGTAATAAGGGAGAACCTTTCTACCTCCCTCAAAATAGAACGTGCCTACCTACCAACCTGAGAATCATAGAATTAAAGCTGGAAAGAATGGATACCATCAAACCCCCTTATTTTCTAAATGAGGAAAATAAGGCCTAGAGAGATTAATAATTTGCCCAATCTAAAGCAAGTAGGATTAATGAGACAACTGGGATTTGAACCTGGGTCTTCTAATGCCACATACAGTGTATTAAATACTATAACTCACTGCCTCATGCTTAAAGTAAAATAAGAGGAAATTATATATTATTAAAAATCTTAACCATTTGTACATTCTTTCAAAATGAAATTATTTAAAGATCTAGAATTGCTTTTGGTCAGAGAGAAAGTCAATGGGACTTATCAGTATCCTAGGCTAAAGTATTTTAAAATAAGTTTCAGGCAGGAAAGCTGAGGATTTCATTTTAAATAAGTGTAATAAAAAAGGCATTATTTCTGATGCCTAATGATATTTTATAATGGTGGCTTTATTACCAATGACGGAAAATAAAGATTTTTTTCTTTCTTTGATGTTGATTTAGAGATATTTTGAGGACTATTCACCACTGAATACATAGGCCATTTT